TAAAAAATTAATAAAAATATACCCATATTTAAGTTCAACCCCATCCCCCTTCACACTCAGTGATAAACAAATTGAGAAATGATAAACACAAGTTTCCACCCACAGTAATTGTGTTAACGTAGACTCTCACAAGTCACAAACATGAGTGGTGAGTGGTTTGGGAGATAGGGGGCAGAGTGGGGGTGGACGGGGTGAGTGGGGGTAGACGGGGTGAGTGGTGGTGGACGAAGGGTGGCATGGTAGGAGGGGGCAGGGGTAGGGGTGGTGGGAGTAGGGGGCAGAAGGGATGGGGTCATGTGGGTGGATGGGGGGTGGGGAAGAGAGTGATTAGGAATTTTCCTCTGAAAGCAAACGGAAATCAATTTCCCGTTGTTGAGTGAAAATATTTTTCCTACCACTTATGTTACCAAACGGAGAAAAATAGAATTATAATTTTCCGGGAAAATATTTTCCCCCCAACCAAAGACACACATTATGAAATATTTTGAAATAAAATGTCTGAAACAAGTTTTTAGGAAGTTTTAAGCAAGTTAAATTTAGCAATCAAGTGAATCAACCAATAAATTTTAAAAAATGGATTGTTTCTAATAGATGTACATTAAAAAATTAAAAAGTTAAACCCTGGTGAGATAGAAGTCTTTTTGGTCTGGATGGAGATGATGAGGTAGAACTATGAAAGAAAATACTCCGTACAGAGAAAGTAATACCTATTCCATGAGATAACAACTATTTTAACCATTTATTTACAAATTATTAAAGCAAAAACAAAACCATAAAAATAAATACCAGAAAGAAAGGGTACCTTTATACGACCATCACCAGAGCTTATAGCAAAGAAGTCCATAGAAGGGCTGAAAGCCGTCAATAAATCTCTAATGTTGAACGACCCCATAGCTGAACACAGAAGCTAAACGATTAAAACATGAACTTTAAAAGTGAGCATTTAAGTGTAGGTACCAATTAAAGCGTATGAACCAGAGAAAACTGTATCCCGTGAAGAAAAGGCGGGTAGCAAAGCAGCG